CAAAACAAGTTTCCCTCTATTGCATAGTTACACTCAACTTAATAAAGCAAATTGAAGTTTATGGTTATAAGATGATAACATTTGAGAACAATCAATAAGTATACATTTTTTTTAAAGCACTGTAGCTTCTGGGATATTGATCTCCATAGGGTGCTCTACCAGTGCTCTCTTCTAGGGTTGCTTTGCGATTGTGACATACAAATAGTCCTTGTGCTTTTAGTTGTTCTTCTTGTCTTTAAAGCAGAACCGTTTGGGTGGAGTCATGGTTGACCTGTAAAGCTCTCTCCTTCAGCGTACCCCACGGCGCCGATGACACTGAAAACCAAGCAGCTTGAGAGAGTTGCTGTGAGTTCGTGGTGCTAGAGCCACAATCACTCTTATCTCGGTTAAAACAAGGCTCCGATTCACCCACATATTTTCTTGTTTCAGAGGCATTTTCATTTAGTTATGTGATAAACCAATCAGACATGTTAGATCATACTAAATGCCACAGGGCTCAGATATCTCACTGCACTATATGTGTGGGGGCCATCACTTTTGACTGTTGTGAAATTTCACAGGTACTGGACTGAAACAGGAGGAAAACATCAATTTCTTCCATGAACTTGGCATTTAAAAACCTGAAAGATTAACAGCTGAAGCTCCAATGTTCCTCAGTCTCCTTCCTCAACTCACCACATGAAAAAGAAGAGTGCTGTCATGTGATGTCTGCATCTGCAAGCTCCCTGACGCAAATGTGACGTCACCGACAGCTGAATGGGTGCCTTTGACTGCTGGGTGGGGGGATTGTATGTAGGCTTTGCATCAATAACATCAGTTATTGATGCTATTGATGATAAGTCCCCCACTGCCAGAGGGACTTATCATCCCCCATTTGGAGGCTGGAAAGATCTTTTTTTCCTCTGCTTCTCAGCGTCAATGTTATTCCCTGAACACTCATGCTTGTTCAGATCAATCACTCTACCTGAAGGGATTCTCCTGTTTTACGCTCACGCTGTGGGTGTCATTATCATGAGAATCATAAGAGAAAAACAGCAGACAGAGCGCAGTTCCATCCATCCATGCATCGTCTGTGCCCGTTCATCCTTGTAGGTACTCGATCCTAGCAGGGGACACGATGCACAATGTCTTGAGTTTTACAATTTTGGTGATTCTGTACAACACCTTGATTGATTTACACTAAATGTGGGATGGATGTTGAAAACTGCACCAAAAGGCCATTTTTGAATGTGATGCTTGAATGTTTGAAGTGGAAGAGGCTGCTGTCTCACCTTTGACCTGTGAATTCAGTGAACATTTTGCCAGTCATTTAGAATTTCACCTCCTAGGGATGGAGGAAAATGTACCTAATTTGACCACTAGGTGGTGTGGCTACGATAACAGTTCTTCAAAAATGTCCTCCACAACTGCTAGATAAGTAGACTGATATTTATTTCCCACGTTTTTTGAATCATGCTTAAGCAGGTGAGGTTTTTTTTTTTTTTTAATAATAATAATCATACTGGGGTAATACTAAACAGAAGAAGACTTGCAAAGTATGTGAACCCTTTTTTTGATAACGTCTCCCAAAGCCATAAGCCATCTTGAATTAAAACTTTGAATGCTAAAAGTGGAAACAGTTTCAAAATTTGCTTAAGTTATGATTTATGAAAAAGACAAAAAAAAATAAATACATTGTTTTGCAAAAAATAAAAAAATAAAAATTGAGTTTATTTTCAGAACAATTCAAGACTTATCAATAGTTTTCAAATCAATGATGCTTGATGTGTCCATTTTCAGCCTGATCCAAAACTAAGGGGTGCTAAATGTGGGTAAAATGTATAGTGGCACGTTTTTTTTTTTTTTTTTTTTTTTTTGATTGGATATCTTCTGGATACAATCCTCAGAAACTGCATTATCAATATGGTAATAATTGATTAAAGTGGTCATGGCTTATGAGCAAAGATTTACGTCTTACCTTTCAACTCTGGAAAAATTCACTAAAAGTCACTGATGTAATCAAGAGAGCTAAGTTCAATATATGAAGCTAAATAAAGAGTGAGCCAAAACTGCAAATGTATACTGTCATTACTATTTACTAAGTTTTTAAGGCAAGCAGACGTACCTCACATCTCTTTGAAATGTGGGATACTTTGGCAGCCAGAAACTCATGAAATTGCAGTATTATAATATGATTTCACATAAATATCTGAAAACATATTGGTTATCGGCTGATGCATTCAATTTATTCATTTCGGTCAACATGAAAGTGTACAAAAAGTCAGTAAATTTCTTATTGAAAAAACATTTAATCAAGGGACAATAAAAGGACATGATTCCTGATTATCTGAGATGATTTTTTTTTATGAATTAAGGATTATCTACAAATTGTTTGCTTAAAGTTGTATTAATGTTTTGATCCAGATCTAAAGAATGTGAATTAATGCTACATACAGAAACTATGTTGATTAATGTGTGTTTTGCTGGTGAACAAAATGCGAGAGGGACATTTGCTGCAGAGACATTCCATCTTGGATTGCTGTTAATTAATCTCATTTAACCCAGCTTCCAGTCCTATTTGTCTTCAAAAAGCCACTGATAAGAAATTAATTATTTCCACTTTGTTGGGATGTTTTTCAGGACCACCAGGTTGAACTAATATACCTCAGGAACAAGATGTTTACCTGTCTCTGGCTGATAGAGGCAGGTTAATAGTTTCATTTAAGACATATTGCTGTCCTCTCCATGTTCTATAATTGCCAACCACCACTTTTATTTTTATAGTTTGTGTCTCGCAGATATTTCGAATTAATTTTATTGGTTTAAGTGATCAGTGGAATTCATTTGTACCTTTGTTTCCATAAAACAGCAATGATGTGAGACACACAATACCTAAAGGGACAGTTTGTAATTTATTCCCTTGACCTTTTTTTTCTTTTCTTTTTTTTACTTTTTTTTGTTTATTGAGGTTGAATAGTGAATTGTGAAAAGTACTGCAAGTATCTCTACTTGCAGTACATTGGTTCTAAATAATACAGTGGAGTGAAAAAGGATTCGCCCTCTTCCTGATTGCCTTTTGTTGTCTCACTTCAGATTTTAAGAAAAACAAACAACTTAAATATCAATCAAAGACAACACAAGTAAATGTAAAATGCAGTTTTTGAATAAACTGGTTTAATATCAAAGGAATAGAAGAAAAAACAAACCCACATGGTCATTTTCTTTTTTAGTCATAGAGTGGAGATGAGTAAGACAGGTGTTTAATGGGTTTCCTACATACAGAATTAGACCATCTGGTGTTAAAATGAGACTTGATTTGATACTTGAAAAATGAAGTGGTTACTACAGTAACTCCCTAAATGTAACGTTATTAAAGCTGGAGGCAAGTAAATGTTTTTTGGACGCTGCATATAAATATATACGACAAAATCTCACATCTGTCCACACATATTTAGAAACTCTAACAACTTCACAGTGCAATAGTCCTAAGAATGGTTGTCAGTGGCATAATGAGAAGTACTGCTGTATTGATGCGCCGAAGGCAGAGCGTGTGAAAGAGCAGGAGCTTCTTAAACAGACAGAGGCCCAATTTCAAGGCGTCACATTACAGGAACATTTTGTCAAGTTTAATTTACACAAGATTTTTGTAACAACTGAAGGTGCTCTAAAATGGCAAATGTGCCTGGAATATACATAATACTGCCCCTTTAAAAGTTTGACTTGTTGGTGTGTGAGCCTCAAAAGTCAGCCACAAGAAACCGACAGAGCCTGAATGCAACATGTGGAACACTGTGTACATTAAGGCAAGATGGAGATGCGCCGTGTGGCCTCTGCTGTGAGATAAAATGCCGTATTAGTGGGTAGTCAGACATGATGATGTGGCCTTGCAGATGGGTGCCACAATCTGAAAATTAAATCTTTCCTTACGGAGGAAATGCAGCGCGGGCTATCCAGCTGTGACGTCTCTGAACTGTGTCCCCTAAATAATATTAAATAATGGAAGCTGTGCGCGATGTGTGATTCCTGCCAGATAGAAAGAAAAGAAGGTGCGCGCACACACAGAGCAAATTCATCAACCAGAAACTCAGTTTGGCTGCAGCAGCTTCATAACAGAATCAAAAGGAGGAGTATGATGGGCTCCTGCTCTTCCCTCGCCACCTAAAAATCAGAACACAAACACTTCAAGTGTCCATTAACGGGCTGATTAATTGTCAAGGAAACAACATTAGTCTGCATGTCCCGGTGGCTTGTTTTACCTTTAAGATGAATGGCAACGGAAAATGTCAATAGTCTCTGAAGTATATAGATTCAGTTTGTTGATTCGGTTTTTGTTTGATCTTAATCTTGTAGTGCAGAAGAGTAACAGCAGGTTACTGAATGGATTTGTATAGATTCTAGTCGCTCTCCAAGAGCCTCTAATGGGGGGAATATAATAAGTCTGTGCACAAGCGCACACGCACACACACACACACGCACCCACACACACACACACAAAGAGCTTTTGAAAAGCATCGCCCCTGCCTTGTGAGATTAAAAGATGAGGTCATAGGAGCGGTGTATCAGCATCTGAGCTCTCGGTCACGGTTTGTCTCCCTCTATTGGCTGAATTGTCATCATATAAACTAAAACCTATAATAACAGAAATAGAGCAAGTACTTGCATTAGTGTAAATATTAGTTTCTTGCCAAATTGTTCATATTTACATTAAAACTGCAAAACGTTAAAGTATTTTTATAGGATGGTAGGTGTCAATCAACACATAGCAGTTCACAACTGTGGGAGAGAAAGGAAAGGGACGGACGGATACTTTTTTTTTAAGCTAATGTCTGAATATCAGAACTCTGTCCAGAAAACTGCAATGGAATAGCTGAGATCCTGCCAAGAACCCACTCAGCCCACCCAAGTAAACGAGGGAAGGGTTGCAGAGGAGTTTATAATACTTATGATGATTCAGCTTCATCAGTAATAATCATTTTAATTTGTTATTATGCACGTAAAGAAAAAGGAAAAGGAAACAGGGCTGGTCTTATAAATCCTTTAATATATGAAAGAAGCGTTGTAACAGAAAATACAGTGTAATAGACCAAAACTTTTATTTACATTTCTTTACAAGGCTACACCTCAGAACAGGCATGTACAGAAGACAAGGACCAAACCGATACATACATAGTAATCTGCTACAAGCAAGACAGTTAAAAAAAACAACAACAAAAAAACAAAAACAAACTTATGAATACACTGAAAGAATATCTTTTTGCTGCCCTACTGTAAAAGAAGAAATTTGCAGTGGTTTCAGAGTGGCTAAGTGACACTTCCATACTCTCTAGCGGATCTGTAAACCCAGACAATTTAATAATTCCTGTTTATGCTCGTTTCCGCATCAAATGTCACGTCGCGGTGTGGAAATGTCAACGCTAATAACCGTGGCACTGCTGTTAATATGCTCGGCGACTAATCCGCTGAGCCGTTTCTCTGTGCTTCAGATGTGGGCAGCGCTGCGCGCGTGATGAGGTAAGACTCGTCAAGGTGTGATGTGTGGCTCACCTCTGTAAATCAAGCAACACGCACCTCATCGACCGCCACTGAAGCCGAAGCAAGGGTTCAGAGGGCGGGATGAGGACAATATTTGGAACTGGTTACTTGCTGAAGAAGCTTAAAGCATTGCAAATTGTTCTACCTGCTGATCTAATAGGTTAAAATAAAAAATAAAAAACAGGAAGAAAAAGTAGCAGAAAAGAGCAACAGCTAAATCTTCACTCAACACAAGTCTTTATTTGCATTCCTAAACTTCATTTGTGTTTGTCAGTGCAGGAGGGAGATTTGAAACTGGCTATGAAGCAGGAGGCTCATGCTGATAAAAACGTACATTCATGGTATGCCTACGTTTCCCCGTGGGAATGATTTAATTACCCAGAGGCATGGCAGGAGAAATTAGGAAGGTGTTTCACGAAGCAAGGCCATAACGATAAAGGACAGAGGATAATTAGCAGTGCTCTCTCCTCTCATGCTTTCCGCTACATTAGAGGAATACAAAAGCAGAACAACCCAGAGCTCCTAAAAACAAACATACGCCACCAAGTCCCCTCTGCATCCGTTGTACCGGAGACTGCTGCGGCAAATTAATATCCTGACTACCGAGGAGGTGGGTGATCGGCACATCCATCCAGAAAACGGACGGCTCAAGAGAGCTGGAAGTGCAGCAGACCTGACACGACAAAGTTAACATCTACACCAAGTTCTCCTACAAGTGGGAGAAGTGTGAGCCACCGAGTGCTTTCAAGGATGATTTAAGAGGGAAAAGATGAGCTCCTCTTTGCGCTGAATAACGCATCAGATGCCTCAACCTGTGTGAAGGGAAATTAGTCAAGATTGTGTAATAGAAAAGGAGAAAGAACACGCCTGCTACTCAGATCTAGAGCAGGACAGACTACTTCCAGATGGTGCTTCAACATTTAAAGGCCAAATGCACTCCAGAAATGTTATAAAAAATATTAAAAGCGTGAAACAACTCCCCAAGTTTGGCCTTTTGAAGAAGAGAAAGATAACTTTGAGACATTTCCCTTAAAGAGCAACTCTTCTAAATAGAATATGCACCTCCATATATGAATTATGTCAATTATGGCTTCTCTGAGTGACGGAGTGTTGGATCTCCTTGCTACTCCTCTGACTGGATAAAACCTCCATATGAACGTTGACTTTATAGATTCAGGTTTCAACTGCAGACTTTACTTCGCCTTTTGTTTTTTTTTTTCCTTTTCTGCTTTTAGCCTTTTTCCATACTTCTCGATGTAGAAACAAATTCATCTGTCCTGAGCAACGACCCTGAACACAACTTAAAAATAACATTTGCAAAAATGATCAGATATGCGTTTTAAGAATGACAAATAAGGCAATGTGTAAAAATATGCACTTTGAATGTATTGACTGATGCTTCCTCACAGAACAATTTATCACTGATTAGACCAAAGACAACGGCGGTTTGAGCCGAGGGAAGCCGTTAAGGTGCGTCGACGTCCCAGTCGAGGATTTGTGACATCCGATTAAAAAAAAACAAACAAATAAAAAATAATAATGTTTTGTTCTCGTCCTTCCAGTTTTCTCTCCGCTGTTTAAAAATACATCAGCGCGGCAGGCTGCGAAACCGACGTGCTCTGATCGGGTGGCGTTTTGAAGTAAGGTAGCATGTGGGCGAAAGCAACATGTGACAGGTACACGCAGCAGACAATCAGAAGGTGCTAAGATATTTATTCCACAGGCGGACTCAGTGGAGCGGGGAAGTTTTGGGGTTGTGTTCACAGAATGTGAATGCCTCTCATCTTTCAGGCGTGCGTGCATAGCATTCAAAATGCAAAGTGTGTATGTATCCAGCCCTCTTAGATCCTGTTTGTCACGCATCGGAATGACACCGTTACAACCAGACAATAGTTAAAACACTGTGAAGGAAGGACACGATCATACGCTGACCTGGTTAGAACCGAAGCTGGATGGCAAAATATGCAAAGCAAAGTCGTAAGAGCCAATCATCTTCTCACAAACAAGAAACAGAGGAAGCATCTAGAAATGCTTTCCAAATTCACTGCGTGGGATCTCTCTCTCTCTCTCTCTCTCTGGCTTACTGCACGACTGAGCTAGTAAAAGTTAAAGCAGCATTCGTGTTAAAGTGAGAACAGCATGTATTAACTATTCTACATTAAATTCAATTCAGACAAAAAGACGCAACAATTCAGTTAAAGATAAAAGCAAATTTCAATGTTTAATCTTTCTCTGATCTCTCAGTTCAACTGGCACTTTCAACAGAAAGAGACAATAAATTCACATTCTATCTAAAATGGTATTTGCATTCCAGAGGAAATCTCTCGTGGACAGCTGAAATTATTTGGTCTCTGTTACGATCGGTAACACCAACAGACAGAAAGAAGTGGTTTTGCAGTCGGTGCCTCAAAAAAAAAGAAAAAGGAAAAAAATCAAACTTAGAAATATACGCATCTATCTGGAAGTGGACACAAAAGAAAGCATGAACAAATAATGTCTTTAAACAACTGATATTAATGCAAAGGACAGATTATAAGACAAAAGTGGTCAAATAAGTCGAGAACAAAAGGCCCCAAACCAGCAATCCCACGTCCCAAAGGCATGCTCAGATATAACCAACAGATATCCGTATTAAACCCCTTTCCTTATATGGCACTGACCACACCGAGCAACTGTGTAATAAAATAAACATTCATCACAGAATCGCCTAATGATACAATCGCTATGGGGCAAACAGGGTGTCTTCCAAAGAACTATCCCTGTTTTACTGCATCTATCTTCAGCGGAAAGAACAAATCTTCAGCCAGGTCCTGAGGTATTAGGGAGCAGACAGGAGAAATTTACTATAGGAAACAAAAATAGGAACATAATGGCACTTTTTTTTTTTTACATTTGAAAATAGAATATAACTGTATTAATACCACTTAAAAGTTGCACAGAGAAGAGAGGAAATGGCATCCACATGGCATCCCCGTCCCGCATGAGTACACAGTCTGGCCAGAAGTTTGATCGCCATTTTCTAAAGCAATGTGGAGATGAATGCATAAAAAAAATAAAAACAGTCTTTGATGCTTGACCTGTAAAAGGACCTGTCGGCTTTCCTCAGTTTATTGATTTTGTCACCTTACTTCCAGCCATGGCTCCCCAGCTGACAGACGGTCTTTGTGCAACTGTGTGGCATAAATACATTTGTCCAAGGAACAAAATCAGACAATAATAATAATAATAAAAAAAAATTGTAATAATAAAAATCATCTCTCAAGTAGGCAACTCCGTCTTCTTTTTGGACATTTGGGTTCAAATCCGTGACGTTTGGTTTGCATTGAATATTTTCTTTCCTCATATCAAGTGTCACTGATGAACAGGAGAAGAAACGTTTTGTTTTTGTCTGTAGGTATGCAAGGATGTTGGCTCTCCGTCCACATCTGGACGGTACCAAGTGCGCTGCGATGACCTGGTTGGGGGCATGTGGTGCGAGGCTCATGTCACCAGTTGGCTTTAACAGCTTTGACATCACTTACCAGGTTTTGAGCGAGGCAGATGCCAAAAATCTGGGGGGGGAAAAAGCCACAGGACACACTGTCACAACTTCAACACTAGAAACAGCTGGAACAGTGTGATAAAAGGTGAACTTTTATCCACTGTATTCGAGAAGTGAATTTATCAGCAATTCAATTTAGCACAACCATAGAAAAACTGACAGACTCCCAGCTGACAGTCATACACACTCGGCTTGAGTCGGGTCAGCCACAAAGGGTCATTTATGAAGAAGCTGACTGTTCACAGAATACCGTATCCAATTATTTTTAAAGAACGTTAAGAAGAAGGGGATAAAGGTGTTGCATTCCTTGTGTTAAATCATTCTTGAACCAAAGACGATGTCAGAACAATCTAACCTGGGTGAAGGAGAAAAAGCACAGTAACACTACGTGCCCTTTTACTTTTGCATAACTTTTATATTTCACTTGTAAATTATTGCCATTCAGTCTCGAGGAAGAGTGGAGAAGCACAGAATCCAAGTCCATTCAGTGAGGATTTGGGAGGAGTTGGTGTATAAGTCTGAAGACAGTGTAGCCATCTACTAGGACATTTGAGACATTTTCAGCTTGAATCTGGCTCCTTCTTTTAAATGACTATGGTATCACTTTGACTGATGCCAGCTACCTATCCTGACCAAAATTTCATTGAGACTCTATGGGGTTTTGTCCAGGGAAAAATCAGAGACACGAAAATTGACGCTGCAGACAAGCTGAATGTTTCCATTACACCTCAGCAGAGCCCCAGGTTGATAACCTCCATGCAATGCTGCAGCGATGCAGTAATTAATGCGAAAGGGGATCAAAATATCTAAGTACATATATTATACATTAAATGGTAAGATGACATGCCTGGATTAAAGATCCAGACTTTTCTATTAATATTACATTTTTGGTGAAATTGGATTTTTGGTTTCCATTATCTCCATGTGATGATTGTCTAAATTAACAGGAAAAAAATATCAAAATATATCACGCTGTGTGTAATGAACATATATGATGAATAAACTTTACTTTGTGAATTGCATGATTAAGCAAATTGGCTTAATGATGATATTCTAATGTATTGAGGCGCTACGGGAAACAACTTCCCGACTCTTTCGGATTGGGGTTATGACTGGTCGTGCTGCAGAGGCTGGATATAACACCCTCTCACCACTAAGCGGCAGTAATGACACAAAATCACAATGCATTCAGCTAGAGTTTAAACAAAAACTAAACAGAATTAAGAAGAAAAAAAAACAGTGGCCACCTACAATGAATGTTTAAGGGGAAACAGAGAGACATTACCTGTAAAAGTGCAGTGCCAACAAAGATCCCAGCGACAACAATCAGGTTGTCCTGAAGCCACTTCTCAAACTGTCCCACACAGCCCTTGGTGAAGATCTCTTTCTGCCGGTCTTTTTCAGCCTTTTTATTATAAAAAAACACACACGCACACTTAAAATAAGAATAACATAAAACTCCACACTAACGTTTTTTTAACACAACTAGTGGAGTCAGATTTATTTAAACATCTGAACTCTGACTAACAGCTGCTCCAAGCAAACACAGGAAGCATTTTGCCCTGTGATACCTTCACTGTTTAAGATGCAATACCACAGCATGAGAGCTGAGTCATACTTAATGATTTCCACATAGCTAGGACAGTTTGGAGAATATGAAGCCAGAGTACACACACACACACACACACACACACACAAGCCTGCTGATGGCCCTGCCCGGAATGAGCAAACAGTGGGAGCTTTTTCACTGATACCGGACAGATGGTTGTCTGTGTCATCACATTCAGCCCATGATTTACATTTAGAGAGAGAAAGCTCAAGGTGTAATTTACTGCTGCCATGACACCAAAGAGGGGGGGTAAGAATAGGCGCCTCCATACAAAGCTTCCTTTGTGACTTTGTCAAGTCAACTAGGCAAACTCTTTGTTCGCTTGCAAAACCCAGAAGCTAGCTCTCAACCAATGAGGAGTCAAAAGAGGCTCTTGGCTACCAATAGAAAAGCAGGAAACACAATGTTATTCCGCCTGTGAAGCTATTTCGGCTCCCTGCCTTTCTTCTTTCCCCGTCCTCCGCATGTCTCCTGCTCTTCCTTGCTGCCCGCCCTGCGCTTTCCTGAGGAAAGCTGCACAGGAACTCTGTGCACATCCCTGATAGCTTCACCGGTCAGCACAGGAGAAACGGAGAAAATGAATCCCTTCCAACTCTGTGCTGCAGCTTGCCTAGCAACAGCAATCTTTCTGACTGCAGTGCAGTGAGTTGTAACCACCACACCCACACATGGTGGGAAAGGGAACGGACTGGCATAACCCACAGAGTGGCCAATTACAGAGTGGAGTTAGGCTGCTCTTTGGGCTAAAACTGGAGCCTAATTATCCCTGCTAGAAGAACAATCTGTTATTAAAAGCATGGAGCATGCATGGGAGTCTGTGTGATTACAAAACCTTTATATTCTCTCCATCTGCTAGGCCTGCTTCTTTTTTTTTCATATTTACAAATCTATATTATTTGACTCAAAAATGTTGAAAATCCTTATCTTGCTTCTTGAAAGCAAACAATATAACACCAGAATTGACTATTTAATTACTTAGTCAATTATTAGACAAGTTTAAATGACTGCTAAGAATACGGAGAGCAGGCGAGATACAAACCCCTTGATGCCGAATGTCATAACCACACTGTGTATTGATGATGTCCCCCTAAAGAAATTGGTGGAGAAAAAAAAAAGCACAAAAAGGATTCATTTTAGTCATTTTGATGTTGCATTGTTGATTTTTTACTCAAAAGTTTGGATCTTTGCTAAGTTTGACAAAGCAGAACGAGCAACAAATGACTTCCAAAGTGTTTATTAGGCATCTCTTGATCAAGTCTTTTTGCTCCAGGCATTGATCTCACCAGTAATTAGCTGGAATAAGATCTTCACAATATGACGACCTTGAGTGATATACAGATTGATAAACAGATTTAAGTAAAACAAAGGAGAAACACCTGGTAAACTTAGCTGTGTATTTAAAGTACTTGCTATGCACATCATTCAGCACACTATTTAACATTTTTGTCAGCTGAAAGCTTTTATAATGGGAAGTATTCCCAAACACCCACATTTTATTTTTTTATTTTTTGGTATTCATTTAGGATGGAGTTTCTGCTGATATCCAAGTTCCCATATCTTTTCAGATGACATGAAAACCTTTTTGTAGCATTTTTGTAACATGAGCTTTTTGTAACATTCGAGCACAAATGATAAACTTTGAACCTGCATTAATAGCAACATAGTCTTTTCTGTAAATTTGACAAATAATTACGCACTCCAATGCAGACATTGGTCTTTGGAGTGGGATAAAGAGGGATGTTTCCACTTTTATCTGTAGAAGAGCCACATGGTTTGTTCTGTACAAAGCGCTTCAGCTTTCAACAGATAGGTAACGAATGGATGATGGATGTTGCATCTTGCACCAGTCTGGGTGCGAGAGCTCTTTATTGAACAATCTGCATCTTTTTATTCTGTTATTTGTAAAATATTGGTTTGGAACTGAATGATCTTGACAGGAGATCTCCAAATAGAAGTATTTGTCCAACCCTTAAATGAGACTTAATTTTTGAAGAATGCTGCAAACTGGCGCTTATGAACCTCTGAACATTTTTTTTGGAGGGTGTCCTAATTGACACAAGAGCATTTCCTTCACAGATGCCTGAAGTCGTCAAACACAATGCACACCATCCATCCATCCATTTATTTTTCGTGGTGATAATGAATGACTCACGGCAGGCTTTTTGATACAACAGGAGAAAGGGACTCCACAGCGTTCTCTGCTAGGATTCCTGTGAGTGCAGTTGAAGTAGATGTTCTGGTTCCAGTCGTCAGGCCCATGAGCTCCACAGCACATCCACTAAGAGAGCAGAAACAACAGGCTCTGAATAAACTCCCTTTTTCTGATCTAAGCTCTCCAGCTCGGTTAGATAGGCAGCTTACTGGGGCGGGTGGGGACTACATGAAACTCCATGAATCAACCACAGATCTAATCTCTCTTACAATACCTCATGATAGAGCTTAGAGTTTACACATAAGAACCAATTATCCAAAATTTGTCATTCTTGTAATTGGATAGCGATTAGAAGGAATTACAATAATAATAATTATGAGATTTTCTCCAAAAATGCCCTCACTGCTAAGTATTAGTCTGATCTAGAGTCGCTTTTAAAATGTAAAGCGAGGTTTCACAAGAGGAAATTTATGCTTACAACATGCAGATGAGTAATGCCTGAGGGATGTAGACAGGTTTTCACATGAATTTTAGTCAGCTGGTGAGGCGGAACTCACATATTCCTGGGTAAAGTCAATTAGATTCTGCAAGTCGATGTCATCGCGATAAGCCTTGATGTTATTATTGATGAAAAAGTTTAACTGGTCTTTGATCCAGTCCTTGAAGACAAAGGCGAGGATCCCCGCAGTCAGCTCCAGGAAGAAGATCAAGCCGAGGAAAACGGAAAACTGGAGAGGACAGGACAAGACACAGAAAACAATACGTCACATCACACAAGAATGAACACATTGGAAAAAAACACACTAATTTTGCTTTGACGGTGTTTTACAACAAATGAACAGGAAAGCTTTGACGTTCCAGCATCTTTTATGTGGCGCCTGAACTGATGTGACAAGCAAGAGTGCAGCAACAAAGCCTGCTGTCCCTCAGGTGCCGTTACATTATCCATTTACAGTAAATGCAGGAGACGGGGCTGATGATAAATGCACAAAAGCCACATTAGCTCCTCAGTCTGACGCCTGACTTATTGCTGCTAATGGACATCTGCTGGAGTTAGTAGATGCTCAGAATCGCAGCCAGCAATGAGGCAAATTTGTCTCAGTCAGTGACATGCCGTTATCAACACAGCCAACCACGTTAATGGTGATGCGATGGTCTTCAATATAAAAGATAAAAAGCCAAGAAGATGCCAAGAAATAAGTCTTGTAGTGGAAAATGAGTCACGTTTCTTTCTCATTTCTTAATGCTTATATTTTATTTTATTTTTTTTTACATGGATCAGAATTTAGAACATATTTATAATGTGTAACAAACTCGGAGCATTTGGCCTCCGGTGAGTCAAAGTGACACCTGCTACCCAGCCTCGGCGCTGCTGCGACCCACACATTTTAAGCGGGGGAGGTGTCAACTGGTTCAAATGGTGTCTGTGCTTCAGAAGCAGAGACAACTTACAAATTTAAGCAGGAGTGTGTTCTCTCGGAGCGCTCCGATGCAGCCGGCAAAGCCCAGGATGAACATGACCCCTCCCACCACTATGAAGAGCCACACGGGGTCAAAGCCCCCGAGGTCGGTGATCAACGACAGATTTGACAGCACGCCCTGAGGGAAAGAAAAGACAAAAGTGCGCAAAAACTCAGAAAAAATACTAATTTCCTCCATCACCACAGTGATAATGCATAACGCTGATAAAAGTCTGCATATCTAAAATCTTTTTAGTGTTTTGATGTTAGTATTCGAGAGGACACCTTTACCACTTATGCTATCAATTTTTGAAGTGAAGTTGACGTTCTGCACTGTTAATAAATCACGCAAAAGGCTAGAAACACTTTCAAGAATTATGATTCTCTTCTGTGCATCTCTTTTCTATAATGAGAAATATACACTGAAACAATCACAAAGCCAAGAATTGTGTATTATTAATTTAAAATATGAAAGAAACAGACAAGCCGCTGCACCTGCAAAACTATTTGGCTAAAGCTCCTTGACTTCATTCTGTTTCATGATGTCGCCACCACAGAAATCACATTTCATTTTTACAGAACACCAGGCCATATTCCAAACCAAAGCCCTCACTCTTCTCCCTCAGGTGATTAAACATGGGTGTCTGCAATAGGGACATTTATTTAAAGTTTGAAACAGCTACACCTTTACTTAGAATTTAGAGTGACAAAGCTATTAGGTGGTGCTGCAGTGACAGAATCATTAGTTACTGTCACTCGCAGCGTTTTTGCTGCAACAGGAAATCCTCTCCTCACTATAACGCTGCTGATGCCCACAGGTGTAAAACAGAGATTGTATTTGGTGTTTTAACTTTCTGTCTGTGTGCTCAGCATTCAGTCCACCATAGGCACGTAGTTTATAAAGCGGTTGGGCATAGGCAACTAACAGGAATCCCAACAAACTTGAGTAAATTGTTGATGACTCATCACACTCAGAGCACACTAAGCTAACCAAGTCGTAGCCAAACATGTAGTCAGATAATAGTAAGCCCAATAAATATGGGTTGTAAAAACTATCGACACATGCACGCTCTCTCCATCTCATTGCTGTTATATTCTTTTTGTGCAGACACACACTGCTTTATTTTTCTCTTTCGTTTGGCAATAAAATTTATGTCCCCTTCACTTGAGCTGTGATCATTTTTTTAATCTTTTAAATTGATTAGTTTTTGAGTTAGCCTAAGCAACTTGCAAGCGTGTTAAAAATCTTAAACTTTACATGTACTCCACATAAATCAAGTTAAAAAGCTTCTGAGATTATGATTTCACTCTTAAAAGCAGTTTTGAATATTTTTGCTATCTCAAACACCATTGCCACCACGGTGTGCCTATTTATACTGAAGAAAATTACATGTTGCTTTATTTTAAGGTCGTGTGTCAAAGTAGGGAGCCACTGGAATTAAATATAAACAAAAACACCCACTGTTTGCTTTCTTTGCCACAGTCTACAGAGAGAAACAACACCAAAAAAACCCACATTCAATAAAATACAACAGAAGAAATAATAATAATGAAATCCTATACTGTCAAGTTGATCTGTACTGGGTAAAGAAAATGGTATTTGAAACAGGCAATACTGCTTTCTTATGTTTTTTATGTCACTTGTGGCAGAATAAACTGCCTTCATTAGAGCTTTAGCACACAGCCTTAAACAATAATGTGTCAGGCTCCAAGAACTGAGCTTGAAACTAATCACCTTAGTCACTCAGACTCAGATTCACCATTAGGCCTTTTCAGCCCGTGCAATTCATCATGCAACCTAATCCCTATAAATTATTCACGCTGCTCCACAAAGGTCCTCCAGTGCAGCGCTATTTGCACACAGTTCATGGCCACACATTGCTAATCGGTACACGCGGCCACGCTGCTGCAGCAGTTACGGAGCACACTGGTATAATTTCTTGCTAATTAAAGAGCAAAGTGACTGTCAACTCAATTGGAAGAAGTTTTGCAAGTTGCCACAACTCACTGCTCATAAAAGGTTAATGGTAAAATATGACCTCTGTGTTCTTTACTCTGTGCACAGAAAACAACAAATGTTCAAATATGTGTTTTTCCTTTGGTGGACATTCAGACAACATGTTTGAACTTCTGACATCTTTGAGTCAAATCAGTGTTATTTTAATTCCTTTTTTTTCCCCTCCTTTCTTGCTCAAATTTCCCGGGCATTGAATAAAAAAACTGAATGTCGAAATCAGGGATGCAGAACAAGATAACAAGTTTCTAAGACTAAATGCAAGATAAAAATCTTCACATAATCTTCACATAATCTGCCCAAATATACATTTTATACAATACTGCATCTGAGCCTCAAATCATGTCCACAGCATGCAGAACCTTGAGGAATTTTAGTTATGCTGTGGTGATCATTTTGCTCGCTCACAGTTTGCATTTGCGAGCGTATGTTTATACATACCTTCTCCGCCCATGCCCACAGGCCTATACCCAGGAATGCTGCTCCTAGCAACTGTAAAACAAAGCATATAGAAGACATCGCCACTGTGAGAGAGGGAAAAAAAAACATCCTAAACATATAACAGTTAAGAATGCATGAATCAGATTTGACTAGAAATAAATGCAAGGCATTATGTGCAGTAATTCAGTAGGGAAAAGTTTCATAAAACACTCTTTTATCAGGTCTGTTGTGGAATTGGTGCAATTTACAGGCACGTCTCTTAAGGTAAGGTAAGGTAACTGCCTTCAGCCCTTTTTAACTACGTTAAAACAGATTTATTCATGTCGTTCCCTCCCAACACAGCTTTGCAAACTCATATTTTCTGCTATCACGGCAGTAAGAAGTAATTGGAGGATTGTCTGGTTTGAAATGATTAACATCATCCTAGAATTTGCAAATACATTATGTACAGATTATAAAGAAAATTAAAGCTGCAAGCAGCCTCGAACGGCCCTCGCAGCCAAGCGCCGCTCCGGCCTATTGTCCACCGCGGGGTACGAGCAACCGCCGCCTCACGCCAGCCACCACAGAAGCTCTCACGCAGTTTTCAGCTCCTCCGCCCGCACCGCAGAAGCTGTTGCTCAGTTTCCATCAACGCTGGCCACGTGCTAAGACAGAAGTTGTTGCGCAGTTTCCACGCCCGTCCACCAGGCGTACGCACTGATGCGTTCGGAGTCGCTCCTTGACGATGCAAAAAATGTGGTGCAGATTCATTGGTTTAGCGAGGAAATATAGCTGGCGGATTAATGTAGGACGCGCAGTGGAGTCAAAAATATTTCAATGCTGTTGTTCTTTTTAGAGGTCAACAAAGGTCATACGTGTCCAATTTGGCGTCAGTCGGATGATCCACGTGTCATTTACAGCCGATCGTATGCACATGGCGAAGTACTACAGTTCGTCATTTTTCATCATTTTCAGCTGTGTTTCTAAAGCACTCTATTTCATTGTTGGAGTAATACTTACTCAGAGTGGCGAATTACTGAAATGGTTTGGAAGAAGTAAGAAAACGCTACATTTACTGCATGATTTAATTCAACAAAAATTATCTGAGACATTTCTATCCTTTTAGAAATTTCATGGCAACGCTCTCACAAAGTTTTCGCGCCCATCCGCCCGTGGATCTGTTTGTCATTGGTGGAGGAACACTGACACCTACTGGCGAAATACTGATATTGTTTTTCATCCTGTTTATCTGCTGTTTCATTTGTGGAGCAATACTTACCCCAAGTGGCGAATTACTGAAATGGTTTATAAACGCCAAAAATGGGATCAAAATCTGAACTTCAATCTAAAATGGCCGACTTCCTCTGGGGTTTAGACCATGGGTCCAAGAGACATTTTTGTAAGTCCTGACATGGTACACATGTGTACAAAGTTTCGTAATTGTAGGTTAAAGCATGGCTCGGGGCTGATCATTTAAAATTTTCTAGGGGGCGCTATAGAGAAATTAGGCCACACCCTACAAATATTGTGATGGATTCCTGTCGGGGAGTGGATGAAGATCCATCCTTGTGAGTTTGGAGCAGCTGCGCCCAAAAATGTGGAATTGAGAGCCAAACGTAAGGCGATGGCGTTACAGGTCACTTCGCCACGCCGCCACGCCCAGCTGCTCCATTGAAGCTGGTCGGGGTTGGAATCCTCAACACACCAACATGTCTTCTGTGTCTGGGCACAGTTTCATGTTGATGAGGTCAAAGGGGTCAGATAGCGACCGTTCAAAGTAAAACATGACACTTCCTTTTCTCAGGGGGCGTGGCCTAAGTGATGTCATCATTCGACCATAGGGTATTGTAGGACACCCGATGATGATCAATCACAGTAACTTTGGTGCCTCTGTGAGTTTCTGTGTAGGAGATATAGCAGTTTATTTTTTTACGGCGAGTAGGTGAACTTTGACCCTGCTAACCCCCTTCAGCATTCTCAAAAACTCACCGTTTTGATAACTTTAGATGGGACATGCCTTATGAGCAGACTGACCGAGTTTGAAGCCGATCAATCGAAATCCCTAGGAGGAGTTCGATCAAATACGGAGGCTGTAAACGGCAAAAATGGGGTTAAAATCTGAACTTCAATCTAAAATGGCCGACTTCCTGTGGGGTTTAGACCATGGCTCCAAGAGACTTTTTTGTAAGTCCTGACATGATACACATGTGTACAAAGTTTCGTATTTGTAGGTTAAAGCATGGCTTGGGGCTGATCATTTAAAGTTTTCTAGGGGGCGCTATAGAGAAATTAGGCCACGCACACCAAATATTGTGATGGATTCCTGTCGGGGAGTCGATGAGGATCCATCCTTGTGAGTTTGGAGCAGCTGGGCCTGAAATTGGGGAATTGAGAGCCAAACGTATGGCAATGGCGTTAGAGGTCACTTCGCCACGCCGCCACGCCCACCTGCTCCATCGAATCTGGTCGGGGTTGGAATCCTCAATACACCAACATGTCTTCTGTGTCTGGGCACAGTTTCATGTTGATGAGGTGAAAGGGGTCAGATAGCGACCATCCACAGTAAAACATTACACTTCCTGTTCTCATGGGGCGTGGCCTAAGTGATGTCATCATTCGACCATAGGGTATTGTAGGACACCCGATGATGATCAATCACAGAAACTTTGGTGCCTCTGTGAGTTTCTGTGTAGGAGATATAGCAGTTTATTTTTTTATGGCGATTAGGTGAACTTTGACCCCTGCTAACTCCCCTTCAGCATTCTCAAAAACTCACAGTTTTGATAACTTTAGATGAGACATGCCTTCTGAACAGACTGACCGAGTTTGAAGCCGATCAATCGAAATCCCTAGGAGGAGTTCGATCAAATACGGAGGCTGTAAACGGCAAAAATGGCCTCAAAATTGGACCTTCAATCCAAAATGGCTGACTTCCTGTGATACTTGCACTATGACATTAATTGTAAATTTTGAGCATCTTGGGGAGCTCTACAAGTGTACCAAATTTCATGTCTCTAGGATAAAGTAAGTGAATAGCAAAGGGTCCTTTGAAAATTTCTAGGTGGCGCTATTGAGCCATTTCTTGTGGAATTTTTGTGATGACTTTAAAATACGTAAATTTTAAAGAGGCTTAAGGCCTCCGCCAAGTTTGGTGAGTTTTTGAATATGATAAAGCCCCAAAAAGCCAATTCATTTGGAGGGAGAATCATAATAATAATAATAATAAACAATAGGAAAACAATAGGCCTTCGCAGCGCTTAGCTGCTCGGGCCTAAAAACTGGGGGGAAAAAAATGCCATATGTCATTATCCTGTTTCAGGAACCCCTCTGGTGCTTTTCCATAACGTTTTCTTATCAGTTGTGAGACAAGCACATACAAGTCTGAACTTAAACCTGAATAAGATAAAAACTGCTTCGAGGAAAAAATAAGTATTTTTAGTTACAAAACTAACTTTTGTTTGTTTTACTTTTACACCACATTGAGCCAAATGCAACTATAGTTGCATTCCTGTTTTACACATCCACCCACATGCTCACCTCTGCCTATGTGAATGATGCTGATGGGGGTCGCTGTGAAAAACAAACCCTTGGTTTTAGCAGGACTTTTAGCATTAGACTTCCTTTGTTATGCGTTTCAATATTGCCAGAGTGACAAATATTGCACGGGCACTGTGGCTCTCTCCATCACTTTAACAGGCCTGTCAGACCGGAGCCAAAGTGAGCCATGTCTGAATGATTGAATGCCACCGCTTTAACAAATAAAGCCATAAACGCTGTGCGTCTCATGTCTGAAAAAGTGATTTTAAGGTGCTTTACGTCTCTTGTTAGAAGAGGAAATCATTGCAACTGCAGGGTTTCCCCCTCCCTCCCCGAAGCTTTAAGGCTCTGTGAGTATGTACTTTAAAGCTTGATCACTTGACTGTTAAGCAAAAACCTTGGAGTGCTGCTCGGCTAACATTTGAAAGAAAGCGGCACCACTTTATGGTGACTTTCAAATTTAGACAATTAAACCTATGTTTACAGAATATGCAAAGCAGATGTCACAATAAGTACTTGTGTTTTTCCTTGTTTTTTTTTTCCCCACTCAACTGCCGTGAGGCCACAGAACGGCATACAGAGCCGATTTATTGCTTCTGAAAGGCAATAGCTATCAGATATTTTACCAAATAACTCCTTGATTAATTTGTTACACCGACATACATGTGTTAATTTAAGTTTTTATTGAGTCCCACTTCTTAAGTCAACAAAAATAGTTGTGTCTTGTGCTGAACTGCAGTGTGTGTGCATGATGATTCAGAAAGCCACTTCTCCTTCTTTTACCAGTGAAGATGAGTTAGGTCAGCAAGACTCGTTCAAGACTCCAAGATGGCGCAATATGCAAACTTGCTGCTGAGACTTTTGCACTACATCAATTGAAGTGTGTAAGCCACAGGCGAAACATTTGGTCTCTAAGTTTCAGTTTATAGTTCCTTTGTTTAAAACCAGCATGAGCTCTGTGGGTTTATTTGCTGCATAAGCTGACTATGTTTTCATTGATATGCACCATTTTCCACAGTTCATCTTAAGATATACATTAATATTACAAGACCACTGCTGAATAAATGTTAACAAAACAGAGGAGGGTTGACAAACTGTAAAAAAAAATAAAATAAAATAAATCAGTTTTGATATTTTACACAAATTCTGTAGTTGCTAAAGCCAATAAAGGTTAATTTGATAGAAAAGTCTCAACCATGTTAAAGCAAATCCTTGCTCTTTAATGTAAAAATGTCCTCCCAATATTGAGGTTTATTTGATTGTATACCATGATCTATACAAATGTAATTTATGGAGATTTTTTTCAGAAAAATTCTTCACAATATCTGAAGCACAATTCTAGCCAAATATGTAACACATAAGTACATTTAAAATGTGTTAAATTATCTTGAAGTTTATTGAACAGAGTAAAAAAACAAAAACAAACTGATGCCGACTTATTGGTTTAAAACGGCAAAAAATGGTAGCAGCGTGGTTGGTTGGATAGGTAGTTGCGTAACAGTTCTAGTGAAGGGTGTGGAGGTGCTGTATTT